TTAATATTATGTCAGTGTTTCCATTACAAAATTCTGTTTTCATGGGTTCATAACATAATCTTAAGAATTCATTCTGAATTGAAATTTGGCATAGGAAAGTTCAAGCTGAGACTATTTTGTGATGCCAAACTTCTTTCCACTACCACCACCAAAATAAAGTTAAGATACTGATTACTAGGATATACAAACTGAAAAGATGGGGAAACCATCAACATTTGAGGATAAAAGTTCTGATGTTGCAGCACAAAAATCCTGAAAAGAGAATAGCAAGTATATGCAAAGTTGGTCATTAATTTTTCCTAGGCTTTTGAATAGATATGATTTTATTATACCTAATAAATACAATAAACAATGGGAATTGTATAAGGGATTTAACTGGTATCTTGAGTAAATGTCTTTAATCAAGGAATTAATCGTTATAAAACATTAACAAAGTAATGTGTATGATCTCTAGTAAATCTTTCCACAAATCAAGTAGCTTTACTCTTAAAAGAATAATATGAGTTATAAATTAATAAATATCAATCCTATGGAAAACAATGAAGAGGAATTTATAAAGAAACGGAAAATAAAGTTTAATGACAGAGAGAGCCTTAAAAAAGTACATGCACAGATGGGTAAAACACGAGAGCAGGAGGATGCTACAATGCAAAGTAGACCTAAGTCCAAAAGTAACAATGTAAGTGAACATCCTGAGGTAGGTACTAAGTGGGAAATAAAACAGTTTTCCCTTGAATTTTGCATATCTTCTTGAGAAATTAAGAAGGCCCTGAACCTGGGATTTCCTAACTCGATGTCTTAGAACTACAATTCTCTAAAATGCTGTCTTGAGGAGAAGGTGATCCAATCTTCAGGGAGCTCACTAGCATTTAAAGGCCCTGAAAGGTCCCATAGGAAAGAAAACTGATCATTTTCTTCCAAACTTATTTGACCATGGAACGCAATTTTATGTAACACCTGTTAACATTTTCCAAAGATCCCCTTTTTGCAAAAGTTTCTCCTAGAAAATTAGAAATAATAGGTTTTGAGATGAGCTCAGTTATGTTTGAAAATTGTCTGGCAAATAAATTATGATATGCATTTCTTCTTCCATATCAGAAGGAATTGGACTTGCTTTCTTTAAAGCCTCTTTCAAATAAAAATTGTATAATTTCAAAATACTTAAGAGCATATTTGACAGTCATGTTCCTATTTTATTTTTTAAAAAATCTGAACTGGGTGCTTATGAACTTCTACTGTTTAGATAAAAACCTCTTAATATACTCTTAATTATGTATATCTTTTTAATGTACAAATGTTCCCTGAGTGAATTATCTGCCCAGGGGACTTTTCTCATTGACCCCCATGGTCTCTTGGTCTCTTTGAGTGTGTCTAACTATACTAAAAAGCTAAATTTAAATTATTTTATATGTAACCCATTCTCTTTCTCCTTTCCATTAGCATGGATAATCAAGAATTCATGGTATTATGGATTTTTAAATGTCAGAGATTGTAAAGCTGTCTTGCCTATTACAGTAAAAACTTCATTAAGGGCTATCATGTATTCCAAGCGATGTGTAATTCAAAGCAGCTGCACATCCCCCTCCCCCTCTCCAGACTTACTATTGTCTTTGGAATAAAAACGTCAGATAATCTAAGTACAATCTAAGTACTCTAAATTCAAACTTAGTTTCTAGGTACCAGAAATGTCAAGGTAACTATGTTTTAATAAAGTTATTATATCCTCTGCCATCAGACCCATTAAAGATGGTGCTTTCCCACCGGCCCATGTGTTTTACAGGCGTGACTTCTATTGGAGCGATCGTTCAGCCCTTAATTATGTCTCTCCTAAAGCCTTATATTTTAGACTTGCACTTTGGAAGCACATCAAATGATATTTTATTTTTGGTCATAGTAGGAAAGACTCTCCCCCTTTCTCACCTTTGGGTCTGGAATACCCCAATTTTATCTATGAAGTCTGTGTGATTTTCTTGAAAGGTGACACATATCCGCTGCAATGCAATTTTTGTACTCTATGTCATAAATTAAAATAATGTCAGCTTCCTAATTATAACATGTGTGCTTTAATGCTTTTCCTAAAGAGGTTAAATTTATGATGAAGAAAAACAAGATTAAGTGACTATGGGATTGATGAGAAACTAATGGACACAAAGTATGTATCTTAAAAGATCAAGCCAAGAGCAAACCTCATGTAAACTATTCTTCTTTTATTTTATAGTAGCCAAGGATAACTTCAACTAAGATGAAAATAAAAGCTGATTTCATATCCCTCTCGTCTTCCTTCAAGATGGTGTTTTTAAGCGGAACTTCTCTGTCATCAATAATTTTGTAAATTACCTTTTACAAAGGAAAGATAAAACCTATCTTTATGTAAACCTTTACACACCACAAAAAGACGTATGAGCGTTCCAAACCTAACGGTTTTGGCACGCCAACTGCATAGCATTGAGGTAGGAGAAAGGGGTTGGCGGAAAGTGTATTTAGGATGAATGCCACCCACCATCAAGTAATGGTTTAAGTAGAAAGTAATCAGTGGGAGACCACAGCAGCTAAATTTCAACCAAAGATATTCTAGGTTTAGAACAATAAATAATTGTAATCAGGTATGTTCCAAGTAGCAAATAGGGCTCTAAGGCTATAACTCAGCCTGAATAAGCACTTGGAAAGTCTGTCGGATCAGCAGCTACTCCATAGAATCAGTTTACCACCTGACCTTCCATTAAAATTGGAACACCATTGATATAGAGAAGCCCATACGTTGTGAAATCTAAATACCATGGACTAGAAAACATCTAATTTATTAACACAGACAGCATTTTTCACCTACATCAGAACATATGTCACAAGACAAAAGGTGTTATGGAAATGCTGATACGGATAGAGGGACACACATGCAAACCTTAGCACCTTCCTGGAGTCCTGCCTTGTCAGAGCCAGAACTGCCTTATAATGAGGTCCTTTTACTGTGTTAGTAACTAAACACTCTTGGAAGGGGTCCAGCACGCACCACCTCTCCAGGAGTCTCCAATGTAGTAACATGACACGTAGGCTTCCACAAAAACCAGTGTCCACGTTTGATGAATAAGTCATTAAGACAGTCTCTAGGATGCTAAAGGGATTACTTTTCTTATCAGGGTACACAGCCTTGTATATATGCTCCAAGCTGCAATTCATCATTTCAAGGGAACTTCTGGCCTCGGTATCAGAGTTTATCATTTGATGGTGTAAGACTACAGTGAGACTGATAAGGGACACTTTGAAATTATAATGCACAAAATGAGTTGAAGCCAAAAAGCATATGGAGCCTGAGTTATTCAAACCCTTATCCATCTCCCACTCAAGGTTCACTTGGCCTAAAACAAACACGAAATTCGTGCGATATGTGTGAATGAAACAAACTCACATTCCACCTCCAAATCTTGTGATTCATACTAAAAATGAAACTTGATACAAAAAATACTACTCATCTCTAGGGTGCCCCAGCAACTCCCTAGGAATCTTACCAAGAAAATGAATATCAAGGTAAGAGTGATTTGAGTATCCTCATGCATCTACCTGCCTTGCCTACCCAAGTTCCTTCCAATTCTAGTTGCTCCCACACCGAGCTCTGCCCTCAGATCTGCACTAAAAGTAAACAGAGCATTCACTGGTGTGGTCAGCTGTCAGGACAGCCTCCTCATATGGCTGGTGTACCGTGGGTGACCCAGAGCAGGTTTCTGTTTCCTTAGCAGAGGCCAGGTCCTTACAGATTATGCTCATGGTTTGAAGAAGAAAGTGAAATCTGGTTCAGCTCAGATTCTAGCTAAAGACTTCTGCATTAGAAAGCATAATTCACATTTATTGTAAATGTCATCATGCCTATGAGCTCTAGAGTGTATTTACAGTGTCAGCCTAGGGCTTTCCTTGATGGATGCCTTGGTTTTCCCTTTTTCCAGGAGTCCTACATATCAAAGCTTTGGGAGGTTTCTTTCTAGTGATTCTGACAGACTTGATAGAGCATGAGGCATTGCCTCCTTACTTGAAGATTCTTGGCCATTTTTCAATGTTTCACTGAACACAGGCTTTGCAGTTATGTTTCCCTTTATCTTGAATGCAGTGAACAAAAAAGTCTGGTGCATCCTCAAAGCATGTAAACCTAGTTAATGTCCAGGAAACTTTCCCTCAAGCTGTTAGCACTGGAGAGGCAGGCTGTTAGCATAAGTTACTCCCTTCACCACAGGGGCCAGGAGAACCCTTGTTAAACCATGAATTTCAGTCCACAGTGATCTGTGTGCTGAAAAATGGAATGAGCAGATTTTCATCAGCAGATTCCAAGAGGTGTTTACATCCACGGCTGCTCTCCCCACCCCCACTTATCGCTGGGTGGATGGTACAACCCTGTTTGCCCAGATGGGTTTTAAGTAATAGAAAGACCCAGCACCTGGTTTAGTTTGTGTGTTTGCCACCAAGGGACTATCAAGTAAAAAGTGTCAACTATAGTAATACTGAGGACTGGAGTTAAGAGGGGGTAAGGTCTAGAGAATCGGCTAAAGGACTTGAGGAAGGCGTCTAGTTCAAGTGTGACTTTTCTCTCTGGTGCCGTGCGATTGGCATAAAATGACCTCTGCTTCTAGGTAAACACGGCTAAAGCCCAGTCCCAGGGAATTTCCGCTGACCGACTTAAGAAACATCAACATAAGCACCCCAGAGGTGCCCCAGCCACCCAGGGCAATAGGGCTCCACTGGGCACGGGGTAGCCCGTCTCCTTCCCCACGCAGTTCCTCCCGCAGACCCCCTCGCAGCTCGGAGCCCTGCTTCTCTCTCCCATTTGAGACTAAACCTGGGCTTACTCGCTGGCGACACGCGGGGTGAGCCGGGAAGGAGGGCTCCGAGGGCAGCTGCTAAGGGCGAGGAAAGGTCCTAGGCAGCACTGTAGAGCCCCGGGCAGACGAAGAGGCTCTGCGGGGTCCAGGGGAGACCTGGGGAGGGACCCCAGAAGGCGGTGCTCCTCGGACACTCACCTGCTGCTCCGGCTCGAAAGCTGCGAACCGTGTTGCCTTCGCGCAGGGGCTGGGGGCGCAGACGCTGCGCGCCCCGCTCAGAGGACCCGGGTGTCCGCGCCGCCTCGGCCCTGCCGCCGCCGCTGTACCTGTCATAGAGCCGCAGCATGTGCTCCGACACCTTGTCGTGTGGCCGCAACACGGGGCTCGGGCCCCCACCTGCTGAGCGGTCGCTTGGCACAGTCTTGCTGAGCTCCGGCAAACGCTGCTTCGGCCTCTCTCCCTGCGCCAGGCTCACGCAGAAGCAGCCCAGCCACAGGCAGAGCAGCCTGCGCGCCCCTGCCATCGCGAGGTCCCGGCGGCGCGTCCGCTCCCTGCGCCGCAGGGGGACACTCGGAAGGCGCAAGGGGCCGGGGCGAGCTAAGGGCTGACCGCCAAACTAGCTGGGGCAAGAGCGCCCGGAGCTCCGGACACTGCCTGAGCAGGACAGCGACAAGCCCCTCTTTTTGCACTGGCGGGTGGCGGACCGGCAGGTGGGCTCTCCCCGGCGGCGGCGCGGATCTCACAGGCGCGGGGCGCTGCCGGCGCCGTCTTCACTCCGACGCTGAGAAAGAGCTTAAGTCGCGGCGTGTGTGGCCGGGGTGTTTTCAGGATCTGTCTCTACCCTCTCTCCCCGCTTTATTTTGGGGCACACCCGTCGGAAGCGCAGCGCTGGGGACCGGGACTAGCGCTGCGTGGGGCACGGAGCGGGGTGCGCACCGCCGGCCGGAGGGCGCTCGCTCGCCTTTTCCAGGGATTGGAGCAGCCGCGGTGCGGCCGGGCCGAGTTGTGAGTGAGTGAGTGTGAGTGTGTGTGTGTGTGTGTGTGTGTGTGTGTGTGTGTGTGTGTGAGAGAGAGAGAGAGAGAGAGAGAGAGAGAGAGAGAGAGAGAGAGAGAGATTGACTGGCTTCTTTCTCTGATCTGTACAGTCCGCGGCCAGTCTCGCCCTCTCCCTCGCTAGCTGCTTGGACCCTACTGTAGCGGGGACAGAAGGGACCTGGGAAGTAACCAGCAAACCAGCAGAGGGAGGGAAAGAAAAGGAAGTAGGAGTGGTGGTGGTTGGGGAGAGGAGGGGGAAGGAGAAGATCTTGGAAGAAAGGGTAGGAGAGATCTTTTTTTTTTTTTTTAAATCTCTTTCAGGAACATTGGTTGTGCACCCTTGCCAGCAAGAGGGCAAAGTAAAAATAAACTTCTTCCTAATTTCTTTTCCCTGGTTCCAAAGAAAATCAAGACGTGAACACCATCCTCGCTTCCTTTCCTGGGCCTCTCCTGGTCGAGGTTTCAGACCCTGCACCTGTGCCTGTGCCTGTGGCGGTCCCGGTCCCTTCCTGTATCTCTGAGAAGTTACCCATCACAACTCATTTTCTTCCATATCTTTCCCCTTGAATCTCCCCCCACACCCAGAAAAAAAAATGTGTGGGTGAATCCCATCTTACAAACAAACAAACAAACAAACAAACAAACAAACAAACAAACACAAACACCCACTCCCACTCCCTCATTCCCCTCAAGAGGTATTTCTGAAGGATGATGGTGGTGAGGGTAAAACACAAGGGCTTCTGGGAGATCCCACATCCACAGCAGGCTCTTAGAGCTTCTAACTCTGAGATCCTTCCTAACCCTCTCTTTTCTTGGCTGTAAAATGGCCATTAAGTTACTAGCTAATGTTTTACCCCACACTTAACCATACTCTAGGCATGTGTTCTTTGTATTTTACATGTATTAAAGAATTTTCCCAAGGAAGCCCATTTTACAGATGAGGAAACTGAGGCACAAGGACACTCAGATGGCAGAGCTAAGCTCCAAACTCAGGGAGCTTGACTCCTAGGCTCAGGCCCTTAATTGTCACATCATTACTAATCAGAAACTAACATTTAAACTGAAGTGTCAATGTGACAATTCATGTACATGTTCTCATCACATGTTTATTCTGGTGCACTAAAGTTCCCAGTAAATGTCTGTTGAAGCTATCTGTTTCCTCTTTGGGAATGTAATGGGTTTATTGAAAAGAATAAACCACAGGACCACACTGAGCTTCCAAATCTGTTTCTTCTGTAAAGGTGAAGAAAATCACGTCCTTTTAGAGGTTTGTTTTGATGAAATTAGAAAGCAGTGCTAAAATGACTAACTTTTGGTTGGAGCTCAATCCCTTACTATCCCAAATTTATCCCAAATGCAGACTATATTCTATGCACTCACTCACTTCTCAACCTGTTGCAGTTTGGGTTTTGTCTTTATCTCCCCCCCACCCCCAAACTGCATTTTGGAACTGTTCTGCAGATAATAACACATACTTCGAGGGTGGCTATGAAGTTTATGTGAGATTGTGTGTGATCTTGCTTGGCATAAAGAATATAATAGCTTTTCCCCTGGCCGGTTTGACTCAGCAGTTAGAGCGGCAGCCTGCAGTCCAGAGAAACCCGGGTTCGGTTCCCGCTAAGGGCACATACCTCAGTTGCAATTTGTCCCCGGCCCTGGTTGGTCATGTGGGTGGCAGCCACTCGATGTGTCCCTTTCATGTCGATGTTTCTCTCTCACTCTCTCTCCCTCCCACACTATCTGAACAAAAAATGGAAAAATGTCCTCAGGTGAGGATAAAAAAAAAAAAGAATATAATAGCTTTTGTGATTAATAATGAATACCAAATTGCAAAATTCAATAGGCCCTGGAAACTTTGTTTATTTTCCTGTGAATCTTTGTTTTTTTCCTGCTCCTTCCTGCTCTCCATCAGTTCTGTGAGCTGTCTCCTCTTTCCAGGCCTGTCTCCAGTGTTCCTCACATCAGTATGCTCTGCCCTGGGAGGATGCCAAATTGAGAAGAGAAATCTTCTGCTTTGGTGGTCACTTCTGGACCTTTAAATGTATAGATAGTTTTGGGTCTCCCCCAGCCCCAGTCTGCATTGCCATCATTTTATCTTCCTCCCCTTTGAAACCATCCCTGAGACTTTATTTAGTTTCAGTGCAAATCTCTATGGCAACCTTCGCCACTCTGTACTAAACAAGATTCTTCATTTGTACAAAGTGTACTGTGGGTGCATGTCTTCAATCCCTACTTTCATTTCTCCCTAGATGTATGTACTTCCTTGCACTTCCATTTTCTTATTTGATCCATAAGTATAAAATAGTTCTGCCCTGGTCAGTTTGGCTCAGGTCAAGGGCACGTACCTGGGTTGCAGACTCCATCCTGGGCCCTGGTTGGGCCATGTGCAGGAGGCAACCAATCAACATTGAAGTTCCTCTCTCTCTCTCTCTTTCTCTGTCCCTCCCCCCTTTCTTCTTCCCTTCTACTCTCTCTAAAAATCAATGGAAAAAATCTTAACAACAACAACAAAAAAGTAGTTCCTGTCTCACAGGGCTGTTGTAAAGAATCACTGGATAGTCCATGTCAAGATACTAGTTCAAGTGCCTAGCACATAGCAAATGCTAAGGAAGAGTCAGATATAATCTAAGAGAGACACTTGTATATTTTTGTGTACCACAGTGGTCAAGTCATACCCATCTTTATACTTTAGTGAGATGGCACTAAATTCAGAATATTCAGAGTAACAAGGAGATGCCTAGCAGGTAGAATAAACCCCAGCCGGGACTCTCAGCTGTAATTGCAGGACTGGAAAAGAATGTGTGGATAAAGCCAGCAAACTGAAGAACACTTGTAGCAGCCAAATCCTGGACAGAAAGCGTCTCATTTGCAAGTAACTCACACCCAAGAAGACGGAGCAAGGGATGAAACAGGTGAAGCCAGCAGCATCATTTCTAGAAATGACAAATAAAGGGCACCCATTCCATACCCTCTGAGAAACCTCCTGGAGAATTGAAATGAATTGAAAGCAAATTGAATTGGAACTAATAGTTCCATCATCAGAACACCTGGAGATACCATCTTGGGATACTTCATGACCACAGCATGGTGTTTTTTTTTATTCAAGGTCACAGAATCTCAGATCTGGAGAGATTAAGTTGTCTCAGAATGCTGGCATCCTCACGTGCCTTCCCCCACAAGGAATAAATTATTGGATTCATAATTTTGGTTGAACATCTGGTTTACTTGATGTATGGAGGATTTGCAGTTATTCAGAAAGAGGAACTTCAGAATTCAATATGATGTTGGTACAAGTGCCTTGTGTCTGGTTTCTTATTAATATGGTTAATTAAAATTTGTTTTATATTTTAATAATAGTAATTTCTTATTTTATGCTAGAGAGTAAGTGTTACTGTTACAGCCAACCACTGAATCAGAGGACACTTATGTCTCTTGTCCTAAATACAAGGAGAAAAACATTTCTCCCCATCCTCTCCCCAGATGTGACAACTGAGGGCAGTTCTGGGGAGTCTGACTCCAGATGTTTTTCTATGTATTTACACACACACACACACACACTCACTCACTCACTTGCACAGAGTGCCACTGTAAGCATCTCCCACCTGCATTTCCCTACTAACAGTGTGTCCTGGGCATGTCCCCCTACTTCTGTTTCCCGTTCAGCAGGTGTTTCATGCTGCAAATCCCCATTATTCATTTACCCTGTGTTCGTCTCTGCTAGTTAATAAACACAAGTTTCAAAAAAATCAATTTGGGATTTTAGTGCATTCTGTTGGGTTAAGCTCTACTTTTAACCACAGAAAATGTGTGTGTGTTATGCATGTTTTTATTAGCTCTCTTAAGGACTATATGCATTTATTTTCTAAAATCTTCCCATCAACAATTCTTATTGAATACTTATGTAAAGCTGCTTTAGCAGTTGTGGGAAAAATATATAAGAAGTGCTAGCTGGTTTGGCTCAGTGGCTGGAGCATTGGCCTGAGGACCAGAGAGTCCCGGGTTCGGTTCTCGCTAGGGGCACGTACGAAAAAAAAAAAAAAATGTATATGTACATATATGTATATATATATTTTGGAGCAGTTTTCCTTCTGTTAGGTGAACCACAGAAACCCACAGGACAATTAACAAATAATGGGAGAAGTATTAATAGAGTGTTCAACCATATTTTGTAGATTATGTTACAGTTTGCTGAGTCAGTAGAAAGATCAATGAGAGAGGGCATAGCCAGGGAAAAATTATTGGAAAAGGTGGGGCTTTACATAGCCTTGAAAATGGGTAGGATTTTAAAGGAGTGAAACATAAAGGACTTGTCATTTAGGAAAGAACAATAGTAAGCAGTAAGTTGCAAAAATGATAATGAGCTTTCCATGTTAATAAGGCAATGTCTGTTGGGACAAAAGGTTGACCTGATTTGTACAGAGTATGTGTTCTGTAAACCATAGGAAAATAGAGATAGAATGTAGGGTAGATCGAGTTTATGGGGGATCTTGAATGCTAGATCAGGGAAGTGTAGGGAATCACAGAACGTTTTTGAGACGAGAAGGCTTTCTCATGGTCAAAACTCTCCAAAATGGTCTGGATAATTTTAATAGCTAACAAATTCCCTGCCTTTGAGAGTATATTTTATGTTAGAGAGAAATTTTAGAGCTGATTCAAATGTCAGAAGGTTGACTGAAGATATTTAAAGCCTTATTTGTTGTAAACTTATTTGGCTGCAAATAAAAAATACATGTGTATACTGTATATATCTGACTCACAGTGGCTTAAACACATGGGGGATTATTTGTCCTCCTGTTGTAAGAAGCCTGCAGTTAAGGATCTGTTGGCATTTTTTCAGTGGCTTGACAGTGTCATTACTAGTGTTTATGTGACTCACATATCATTTCCTTCTTTCTTGCTGCCTTAGAGTCACCAGATGGTTCCTGCAACTCCAGCCATTAAGTTTTTGCTC